AAAACGTTGACATCTCTAGTAGGAATGTTTTTGATTTCTTGATAATCTCTAACTCTAGTATTCTCTTCTAGACGATAATGCTGCCTATGTTTACAAGTATGGGAGACGGTTTAACCTTCCCGCAGAGATTTACAGACCCGGAGCTGGGACGGAGAGATAGCGAGGAAAGGTGGGGTATTATTCCCACTTGCCTTTGAGTGCTGAGTTTTTTTTACATTTTTAGATATTTTTTTTCCCTTAATGCGTAAAAGCAAATGATCTGTTTTGACATTTTCAATTGAATAATTGAATTTTGTATTACTTAAAAGGTTGGCCCCGAAACATTAGAGGAGTTAACATTTATCGTTTCTATTTCTATCCGATGATACTTGAAAGATTTTATTGGGTTGGTTTACTAATTATAAGTTGATGTTGCAGGCTAAATAGGCCAGATGAAAGTTGGCTGCCTTTTCCCTACCTTTCATGATTTTATTATATTTTATTATATTTTTTTTATTTTATTTTATTTTATTTTGTTTTATTTTTCAGCAAAAATTAGTGAAAAGACATAAGATCAGTGTAAAATAAGACCAATCAAGTTTCTTCTTAGATTTACAGATATATCAGACATTCTGCACATTATAAGAATCTTTCCCTTTGTCCCTTTATCAGATGATTAAATGAATTTAAAATTGTGTGTTGATGACACAAACCTCTAAAAGTAAATAAAATAAGTTTTAGTTCGTTTTTTTGCAAATATGTTTTGTCTCCAATTCTTTAGGTTTGCTTCTATTATAAAGATTGAAAAGAATTGATTAACTAAACCTTGAATAATCAGGTGGTCTGGGGAGGAGGAAAGAGCTCCTATGCTCCGGAGAGAGGAGGAGAGGGAGGAGAGAATCCGTCTGTCGGAGTCTGACTCTGAGGAGGAACTGCTCAGCATGCAAACCGTCCTCACTTCTCCTGGAGCACAGCAGCAGCAGCATACAACCAGCACCAGCTCTCTTATCATTAAATCATGATCTGGGTAGTGTTTACTGTTTACACTCTTCAACCTTACTGACAGGAGTGCGTCTTCCCTCTCCTTAAACATTGTACTTATTCAGTTTGCATTACAGACAGCACAGTACCATCCTTATTCCAAAGTGATCTAACTTGCATTTTCTAGCTACATCTGTAGCCGGTAGATAAACTATAAAATTAATAGATTTAGATTTTATTTTGAAATTTGTTTAGTTTAAATAAAATATGTTTGCGCACAGAATCACGGAACACATTTTTATTCACGATGACTGATTTGAATAAGAAAAAGTTTTGCTTGAGTAATCCGCATTCCACCTGCAGTATTTCTTAACACATTGAATGATTGAAGTAACAATTTTCTTATTACCTAACTTCACTTTTCTGTTTAAATAATACGCTTTACCGATCCAACGCCTGTAATTTTACGTAACATGTTTCTAGTTAACTCGAAAACTATTTGAAGCTCAAATAACATGTCAATGAAATGTATTGTGAAGTGTGCAAACTATCGGACTATTTTTCATGAAGGGGGGGGGGGTTGAGCAAAACTTTAACACTTTATTTAAAAATGGGATTATAAATAAATGAAATGAATTTGAGGATTCCAATTTTGTTGTAGTGCATCAAGGTCTTCACAGGTCAAACTTACATGTACATTGTACAGTTTGATCTGACAGGTTTCCGTGTACACCCAAAATATATCCATCACATATAGTTGTAATAGTTAGGGAATATAAATATATGTTGAACCGATTCTTTTGTTTTAAAAAAATATGTATTTTCTAACTTTTATAATCTTCATGAGAAAATCTTGTCCTATAGATTGCATTTGACACACAATATGTCAAATATATTAACTTTAATTCAAACTCCAAAGAAGTAGAAATTAAAATACCTACAAGAGCTTAAACACATTTTGCTGTTTGATTTTCTATCTCTGATATACATCCTCGTCTTGTGTCTTGTGTCTTGAATCTTAACAACTTTACCCTTCAAATTCAGTAAATATGATCGTAAAATCCAATTTATATATTTTGTGAAACTGTCCTCTTCTATATCTCTAGTGGAGGATGGTTTCACAAACTAGTGTCCAGTTTAGACTGCATGTATTTATAAGAGAATAAATATTTATTATCATTGACTGGTATTTTAAGTTCCAGATTTTACAGATAGGTTTCTAAATAGGTTCTACAGATAGGTTTCCAGATTCCACAGATAGGTTACTAAATAGGTTCTACAGATAGGTTTCTAGGTTCTCCTAAAATAGATCTAGGTCCTACAGATAGGTTTCTAGGTTCTCCTGATATAGATCTAAGTTCTACAGATAGGTTTCTAGGTTCTCCTGATATAGATCTGAGTTCTACAGATAGGTTTCTAGGTTCTCCTGATATAGATCTAAGTTCCACAGATAGGTTTCTAGGTTCTCCTAATATAGATATAAGTTCTACAGATAGGTTTCTAGGTTCTCCTGATATAGATCTAGGTCCTACAGATAGGTTTCTAGGTTCTCCTAATATAGATCTAGGTCCTACAGATAAGTTTCTAGGTTCTCCTAATATAGATCTAAGTCCTACAGATATGTTTCTTGGTTCTTCTAATATAGATCTAGGTTCTAAAGATAGGTTTCTAGGTTCTCCTAATATAGATCTAGGTCCTACAGATAAGTTTCTAGGTTCTCCTAATATAGATCTAAGTCCTACAGATAGGTTTTTAGGTTCTCCTAATATAGATCTAGGTCCTACAGATAAGTTTCTAGGTTCTCCTAATATAGATGTATGTCCTACAGATAGGTTTCTAGGTTCTCCTGATATAGGCTAGGTCCTAAAGATAGGTTTCTAGGTTCTCCTAATATAGATCTAGGTCCTACAGATAGGTTTCTAGGTTCAGGTTCTCCTAATATAGATCTAGGTCCTACAGATAGGTTTCTAGGTTCTCCTAATATAGATCTAGGTCCTACAGATAGGTTTCTCTAGGTTCTCCTAATATAGATCTAGGTCCTACAGATAGGTTTCTAGGTTCTCCTAATATAGATATAGGTCCTACAGATAGGTTTCTAGGTTCTCCAAATATAGATCTAGGTCCTACAGATAGGTTTCTAGGTTCTCCTAATATAGTTCTAGGTTTACAAATCTAAAATTAGGTTTAATAGATGATGCAAGTGTCTCCTTATATCAGGATCTAGTTTACTCTAGTTTCAATATTAAAAAATCTTGTCATAAACGTACTCTGAACAGTTTTCATAAACAGGGTGTCCCGCAAAACATGACATTTGCTGTTTGCTGCAATAACTTCCCAATCTAATTCTTGAAAGAATGATCACAAAATACCCCAGTCCCATGGCATTTTTCAAATGTGGTCGGAGGCCGGTAATATCTAAATCGCATAAAGGCAGACCACACTTTAGATATTCTAGGATAAGGGGAAATTTGCGATTATTGTGTGAAGAAGTACAAGTGTGAAAAAAGGTTGTCTAGTAAATGCCGCAAATTATTTCAAAGACAATATCTTCAAACTCATGTTTTGTGGCACATCCTGTCTTATAAATCTAGTTTGTTGGGCACTTTTAAAGATTGTCAGCCTTATAATAGGTTTCGATGGTTTTGTATAGAATTGTTTTTTTTTAATTTCACAATCTTGTTTATCTACATCTTTTTCGAGAAAGCTGTAATCCGAAGGATTTTGGTCTGCTATGTTTACAATTTTTTTATGTTTCGACTGCATACGGTTATACTTAGTAAAAAAGAAAATTACAGTATACCAACACAGTAAACATGTATGTCTCCATTGTTCATCTTGCAGAGAGATAACAGACCAGGGGGGATGATAGTTCTCTACCTGTGTGCTCAGTTAGCTGTACTGTACACTTACAACTGTATACTAATATTGATATACTATAGGTTAGGCCAGAATCTCCTTATAATAAACAAATATGCAGTTGCTCTTTCGGTATAGTTTATGGTCTATAAAATTAGTAAAGGATTAGCGTACATCATCACTCTATACACTATAACCTCTATACACTCTATACACTATAACCACATTATTGCAGCTCAGGTACTAATGCAAGGAAAGTTAATTGCGGTCACGTATATATTGAAACAGTTCTCTCTGGGCGGAATTTGTAAACAAGAATAGATGTATCAGTGTTTGTCTAGTATCCGAGGAGGTTAAAAGCATTTAGTTTTGAAATTTTGAAAATTTACATAATAGTTTCCTATGACCAGAATATTGCATAAATTGTTTTTGTGAAAATGGATTCCACGTCAGGCTGTGGCATCCGTCTTGTGTTTACTTTTCCGTCCAAAGACAGTACACTGCAGTACAAAAAATGCGTACACCTCTGAAATAACTTTCCTTGCATTAGTATTTTGATTGCAGCCTTACCGTCTTAAAATAAAAGAAATAAAAAATAAAATAAAATAAACTATAGCAGACAAAATTAGATTATGGCTTTTGAAATAAGGTATTACAATGCTAATTCTTAATATAGACAACATCGCATTCGTCACTGAATTCCCACGTTTATTAGGACACCCTGTATCATCGATAATAATTTCGAAATCACCCTGTTAATTAATCAATCAATCAGAGTTTTAGGGACATCTTACTATCCCCATTTTATATGCTCAAGATGAATTTACTAAATTGAGACTGAGATATGGGCTCATAGTGTTGCGATAGGTGCTGTAACAAAAAATGAAATTTTTACGATACAAATTAAAATACACCTATAGTGTTAATAATTTTTTTATGCGTTTAATATTGCTTAATTTAACTCCTATTACAAGGGACACCCGACATTCTACCAGATTGTCTGTCATAGCTTCTAATTATTAGTTTGTATGTTCACTTCCTAATGATTGGTCGCCACCCTCTGCATGTTATATCCGACTTAACCATTGGACTCATTAATGTAATATTTCTTGACTATCAGTATGATATTTCTGTATTATGGTTTTCATGGACTATGCCTGATTAATGTAATATTTCTTGACTATCAGTATGATATTACTGGATTATGGTTTTTATGGACTATGCCTGATTAATGTAATATTTCTTGACTATCAGTATGATATTACTGGATTATGGTTTTCATGGACTATGCCTGATTAATGTAATATTTCTAGACTATCAGTATGATATTACTGGATTATGGTTTTCATGGACTATGTTTATCATTGGACTATGCCTCATTTATGGACTATTCAGTAGAGTACATTAATACAGTATGTTCCCTAGACTTTCCATTTCAATTTCGATTTTTTTAAGCTGTTAAAGAAACTTTATAATGAATTAAGTGAATAAAAAACATCATTTGATTTATAGTTATAACGGAATTTGGAAGTTATAATTTGGTTTTCTTTTAATAATTTTAGATTTTCTACAAAATTATGTTCCAGGGCCCAAAAGGTTATATAGCATAAATATGTGAAGTACACCTGCAGTATGGAAACAGTACAACAAAATAGCAGTTTAACACTTTTTTCTAGTAAATTCCACTCTAATATATATTCTATTCTCTTTGACTAGAGCTTAACAATGTATAATGCATTCAAGTGCAGAAAATTCATTACGTATAACGTTGGTCTTCGTCATAAAATTTCATAATGTGTGCAACATAACATTTCAAACATTTTGTACTTTTGTGAACACTATCGTAACGAAAGCTGAGATAAGTAAAAAAGAAAACGTTGACATCTCTAGTAGGGGAGCAAAGTTATTTTTGAGGGTAAAGTGGATCCAGTTTTACCAGATTTTTACGTACAAGCAATCCCCACCCACCCAACCACACTTCATAACGGAAATATGAAACAAGTGGATTAGAAGGCTAGGCGGGGAAACACTTGTTTTTATAAAAGAGGATATAGTAAATAGAGATACTATGTTCAAGTGTACACGAAACTTTGACCTAGACCCAACTTAGTTCAACTTAGTTACAATCTTGCCACCAGAGCTCCGGACAGGGGTTCATGTCAGGAATTGTTTTGTATTAGAATGTTTTAGACAGGATAGAATAGAATAAAAAGAATAATCACATATATTCAAAGCATAATATCATTAAACGTATAATGAATTAAAGTTAAAAATATCCCCACACCGCCCCTCTCTTAGAATTTTTTTATCCCAGGAAAGTAATAAACGCCATAAAATATTGATCAGCAGAATTTTGCCAAAAAATGCAGTTTTTGAAAGTGTGAGGTTATGGTGAAAATATTTCTGAAAAGTAATGATAAATCGACAGGAAACGTCATTTAAAAGGACATTTTTTGAGAATTTTTCTTCACATTTACGAAAAATTAACAATGCAAGGAATGAAATATTTTTGAAATCCTAACAGCTAAATTGCTCTTTTACTGTCCTGGTGAGGGCAAAAATAGGAGTGGGCTGGCACAGGGATCCCCCCCCCTCTATATTTTAAAGGAATTGAGTTTTGCCACAAATGCCAATTTTATAATACCTAAATCTCAACAACCATATGATGCATACCTTTCATATTTCAAACTTTCATTGTTTGATCCACCAGAATTCATAGTATGAAACATCTACGGTCTACAACATTCGGTTTTAAAGAAATTGGTATTTAAAAATCCGAGTTTGTGGCAAAGACTGAATTCCTTTTTTTGATGGAAGCAATAATCAAGTGTTTGGACAACTTCTTACATTATATCAAGATATGAAGATTAATTCTCATTTTCCCAGACCAGCTCATGTGTTACCATTTTTCTCATTATTTGCAGCTTGTAAGTTTCAGTTTTTGAAGTCTCCCCACCCCTGGTTAGGACATAGTGTAAATATAAGGCAGCCAACTAACCCACTTGTCAGGGTAAAATAAGGCAGCAAACAAATTTTGTCCTCGTTGATAACTTGTTCATTTTTAACCTATCAGGGGGGTCCCAGGTCCTTACCCCTGGACTAGTGACCCCCCTTCATGGTCCAGGAAGAGTATGGCAGCCAACTGACCCCTCCCTCAACAGTGAACTCCGTTCAATTCAAGTACCGGGCCTACTTTTAATCAGAAAGAGCCAGCTGTTCAGTACAAACACAGACTTTATAAGGCAAAACGGGACGGGACATAAATTTGAAAATGCACAGAATTGAGAAATCCATAAATCCATGGAGCATTTAATTATTAACTTAATTTTGAGGAATACTGGGAATTCCTAAAGAACTAACTTGACATTTCTTAAATGTTATTTTTTGTTCCAGCTTTGTTCAGATAGCATTTTATTATTATTATTGTTATTATTCGAAATTGTCAAATAAATGAAACCCCATGATATACCGGCTATAGTAGAGTGAATAGCTGTTAAATCTTGCGAGCCACATAATGTTTAGATCTACAACCAAAATGACAAAGTTTTGAAGGCTAAAATAATGACATTGTCGTGAAATCAGTGGGATTTAATGAAGCATGTTGATAAATTGCTGATTAAAGTTGAAGCATGGAAATGAATCGGCCCAAGAATTGTATGGGCTGCTTTCCCTCCTAGTATATAGCCATCTAGCGGCTGTTTTAGAAGTTTTAAGTGCGTTCCGAACAGATATAAGAGAGTTGCAGAGATCGAATTGCACCTATAATATGCGATATTTTCCACACCATGTTCTATTGTGTACAAGTACTGTACACGACCAATAAGGAGACATCTGTATTCAGGGATATTTAAGGATCCTTTGGATACGAAACACATAATATCTTCAAAAAAAGACTGAATTCATAATTAATCGGACATCAGATGATGCTCCAGCTCTCAAAACAATAATTCTGTTTTAATGTCATTAAATATAGTTTTACTCTTTATCAAACATAATTGAAGATT